CACCGGGGCGCGAACCCCGGCCCAGAGCCGACACTTAATTGACACCTATGATGCAGTGCCACCAACAATGGTAACCACTACGCCATCGGAACTCCACAAGAGGGGCGTGGTGAAATGACGGGTTTGAAGCCCATTTCAAATTAAGTAGCCTGAAAAAAATTTCAGACACACAGAGAGCCGAACCTCCGATCTCCTGCGCTCTGAGCGGGTGCGCTACCGACTGAGCCATAGAGGCGACATACGAACCGTCGCTCCAGGGAACGAATGATTCTACTCTGTCGCTAACTGGCGTCGCTCCTTGTCTCCCGTAATACAGGACCGACTTTGAAAGCGCGGTGGACAAGATGGGTGGGCGGCCGAGTGCGCTAAATCGTGCTCGTGTCAAACTGTTCGCCCGAGATTCGACTCCCGGCTAGGGCAGATATATATTTTATCTCCTTCACTTCTGTGGCAGCTGAGGTTGCTCAATTGTGACCAGTCTGAAACTGTCTGGGGTTCGACTCCCGGCCAGCGCGACCACGGTGAGTGTGCCGTAATTATTGCTCTCCCCCTTTGCCGTGCCGCGGCCCCTACCCCTTCTCCTCCTCCCCACCGCGTATTTACCTTAATGGAAACGTAAACAAACACTGAAAATCGGTGTGGATCGGCGTTTCTGCCAAATAATACCTACTCATATAATTGATGATCATAGGATTTTTACCAGAATTTTAGAGTGGACATCGCCGCTGTTTGATATTAATCGTAAGGTATAGTGCTTGATTGTTTCCGGTCCGGAATATTGAATTGTTCCATTCTGGTCATTGTTGTAGGAGGTTAGTGTTCTCCTGTGGCCCAATGTTTACACGCACAATTAAGTTGTAAGTTATTTTTTGAGGCCGATTAAATGATGCCCCGTGATGTAAATAACTTGGCTCACTGTCAGCTTTGTTGAAAAGGTGTTGAATGGGTAGACTCCTCCAAAACATGCAGTATGTTAAATACTGTTGTAGGTCTTTATGCAAATGGGTGAACTGCCAGTGTTTTTTCACATATCATATATTTTACTCTATATTATTCTCGTGGAACAGAAAACTTCATTACTTTCTGGTTGGGGTGCAAACCGAGTGATACTATTTGCGTAATCCCACAAACAATCAATCAATGTGCGTTGCAGATAATTTGCAGCTGCCCCTTCGTACTTAATGCTTATAGTCCAGTGCCAAAATTAGTTATTTGAAAGACCATGGTCATTTAGAGATGCATGGGGGGAGAGGCATTTAAAAGTGTATTGTATGAGTAAATTATATGTAACGCGCTAAAAGTACCGTTTAATTTGATTGCAGGAACTTGGCCCAGAAATGTTCTTGACATGAGCAAGAAAAGTCCATGGAATCATTTAACCCAAAAGAATAGGTGAGTTACCATGACAGTAACCGCCAACGCTGGTCCAATTTGTCTCTGAACAGACACTATGAGGAGCTTCCTTTCATGTGCATCAAAGGGTGGTTTTTGATGTTTTTTTGTGGTGCCTTGGTTCTTTGCTGTCGATTTCAATCCTCCTCTTTCAAGATCCAGGCTGATTTGTTATCATTGAAAATGTCTTTTAAAAGTCTTGACAATTTGGAAAATTGCTGGAATTGGTTTGGATTGGTCGGGCAAACTCCCTTTTCAGTTGCTCTGTCTAAATATCATGGTGTCGACCCACTACAGCAGAGTTCTTAGCCAGTGCACCGTAGGTAGCCTACCTGCCCATACTTGGAAAGACCAGCTCTTAAAACTCAAGTTTCTGTGAACAGGAGTGGTTTCTGACAAAAGCAAAAGTAGTTTTTTGGTCCCTAGTTCACCCCTATCTATTCAAGTACTCCTCTGTCACAAACCGGACCCATGCCTTTGTAAATTTTTCCAAAAATGAAAAATTTGAAAATCGCTGGAAATGGTTGGGATTGGTCCTTTCGATTTCTGCGTCAAAGTTTCACCCCGCCGGTCCATTTCAAGTGAGTTACGCCTGTTTTTCTTGGTCCGGTTCGCCTGCGAGGTAGGCAGCCCATCGTACGCTGACCGCCAGATTAAAAGGCCACCCTTGAAACGCAAGTTTCTTTGGATAGGGGTGGGTTCTTCCAGAACCAAAGGTAGTTTTGCGGTCCCCTGGGTCACCTCTGTCGTTTCGACTACTTTTCCGTCGAAATCCGGACCCATCAATTTTCGCTAAAAGCACAAAGGCTATAGCCTTTGTATATTTTGCCAAAAATTAAAATCGCCGGAAATAGTTCGGACTGGTGAGACTAAATCCTCTTTCAATCTCTGCGGCGAAATTTTACGGCGCCGGTCCATTTCAAGTGAGTTACGCCTGTTTTTCTTTGACTGGTTTGCCTGCGAGGTAGGCAGCCCATCGTACGCTGATCGCCAGATTCAAAAGACCACCCCTTTAAAACTCAAGTTTCTCTGGACAGGGGTGGTTTCTGGCGGAACCAAAAGTAGTTTTGTGGTCCCCTGGTTCACCCCTGTCGACTCGACTACTTTTCCGCCGAAATCCGGACCCATCAATTTTCGCTAAAAACACAAAGGCTATAGCCTTTGTATATTTTGCCAAAAATGAAAAAAATTAAAATCGCTGGAAATGATTGGAAATGGTCTAGGAGAGTCGCTGTTGACCTTCTCTGTCGAAATTGCGTGCTTCCTGGCTCTTTAACATCCTGTTTCTTCGACTAAAACTGCCTCTTTGGTTTGTTGCAGGAAGATCGGCGTGGAGGTGTTTCTGTCCTGGACATCAGCCGTGCAGCCCATGGAATCATCAGATTTAAGTTGAGTTGGTGTCACAGTGGTAACCGTTGGTCCAGTTATTTTTTCTCCCCCCCTGTAACATCACCCACATTGTGGAAGGGTCTAGCGGAGCCGTTCCGCTCAACGCTGTGGAGTCAGCGGACCCCTTGCATGGGGACAATACGTGCAACGCGTGACCTCACTGCGTCAATGAGGGGGCTGGACGTGTCGCCCTGAGCCGTCCAAAAAAAACCTCCCCTCCCCCTGCCCTCCTCTCGGCTGCGGCTGCTGTGGAGGTAGTAGTAGGCTGCCGCCGCTGCTGCGGGGGCTGTGGGGGTAGTAGTAGTGGTAATCCTACTGCTGCCACTGCAGCCGCTGCATCAGAGACGTCTGTGACGTCACTGCGGTAGTTGTGGCTGTCTGCTACTACATCCACAGTTACTAAAGCTTCTGGCTAACTAGGTGTAGGAAATCAAGTAAAATGTCAGATGTAGTGATTTTCTATTCTTTATTGTTTCAAATCATTTACATTATAAGAGTAAGTCTTCCTCAAGTAGCTGGCTTGTTTCTGCTGGTGACTTGGAGCGAATCTGAATACCTGAAAAAGAATGAAAAAAATCTAAGTTAAATTCAAATTCTCAGTTCAACTCAAACATGTTCTGGACCATATGTATCACTGTGATGCCAACTCATCGAATGAAATTCTATGTTACAGGTGGCCAGCATCAAGTCCAGGCATAT